AGTTAGTAGGCTGCCTCTTCTACTTAAGATCATTGTCAGAGGAAAAATAGATTTCTGCATTTGGTTTCTACCTGCTGCTTGTATTGCGAGAGGGAGGTCCAGAAAGTGCCCCATGCCTTCTGTTTATTTTTCTTCTTTTGTTTACATCAAGGCAGGTGCAGAATTTCTACAAATAATACTTGTCAGTTTTTATGTTGGATGGGCATTAGAACCATCATGTTTGAATCTGAAAATGCAAAATTAGTTCTCAGTGGAAGAGGTCTCAGAGTCAACTGCATTGTTTTGAAGGATCCGATGACAATGTCATCACAAGAAATAACATGATTCTGCTCTAAGACTACACAGTCAAAATTGTCAAGTTTGTAGTTGACAACTTTGTAAAATATGTGAAGGTTCTGATTTGGTCACTTTCTTAACTCAGAGTTACTGTCTGTGACTGTATTTTGAATACATTATTTCCTTCAAAAAAGTCATGTTGAAGTTTAATCCTGATTGTGAGGTGGTGAGAAGGCAGGATCTTCATTGAACCATGACATTTGGAGCTGATAATTTTGGAGGAATGATTTGAAGTGCGGAGCTGTGCAACTAAGCATTGGTGGCTTTATTAGAATAAACACACGTGCATCCCTTTCTCCTTGCTGTGTGATGCCTGCTGTATCCTGGGACTGTGCCAGCTAGTACGCCATCACCGGATGCGAGCCCTTAAGCCTGCAGAACTGTGAGATGACTAAACTTCACGGACTTTCCACACCTCCGGTGTTTCACTATAGTAATGAAAAATGGGATAACAGGCTATCCATGGCCGTAAGATTGATACAGTTTTAGAAGTTGCCTTAAGAAAATTGTTTTGTTTCCCAGGGCAAGCTGTCAGCACAGGGCAAGGTCTGTCCATCCCTAAACATGTGGCGAATGCAGTGGAAAAGATGACTGACTCAATAGAAAACCATCCCATCTAGACTGGAAATGTTCAAAACCAGTTCCCTTCTAGAAATGCTGAACAGCTTGAAATGTTTTGAGTGCAATACATCCAAAATGTGTTTTCTTCTCTATTTTGCATCTGTATTTTCAGTAAAATATAACCCACACGCTCTTGTTCCGTCTACTTTTGAGTCATGAAAAATGTTTTGTGAGAGTTGTTTTATGTCCAGAAAGCCTTTTATCCTTTTTACCAGTCCATTTTATATAAATCAAAAGGAAAAAATAAACAGAAAATACAACGTGACATCATAAACTAGTCAGAGCAAACACAAAATGCCATTTACAATTGCAGTTCTAAAGCCAAAGTATTTTCAAACAAAATGTTTCTCTTGGTGTTTTATGAAACCAGTGTTCCCTTCAACTGGGCACACGTTGCAACCTGTTGAGATGACGTAAGGAGGAGAATGCTCTAGAAGCCTGGGTCGTTTGCTTACCCCGTACATCTTATGGACTTGTTAGTCTATCTGTATTTTATAGGTGGGGCAGGCTCTCAGACATCTAAAATAATTGGCCACAGGCCACCAAATAACTGCAAACCAAGTCCACTTGAAATTTCAGCTCCTTACTCTTTTGATTTCTTGATCTTAACTCTCATGGTGGTGAATAGGGAGAGGTATTCATTTCAGATAACCAACATGTCCCATAAAGAGACAGAATTCGGATGTAACTCATCATGAGGGTTGAGGATAAGAGCTATTTAGCCACAAGAAAAAGGCAGCTTGCCATCGTCAAGGTGGCTATTAATGGGGTGGCTATGTAAGTGCATTGGATAGGTGATGTAAGAGTTGAGGTCACAGTGGGGCCCGCTCATGCTTCCATTACTATAGCAAAGAAAGCCAGATTACCCAGTGGTGGTGACATAGGGCAGGTCGGGGAGGAGGCCCGTGCCTTTGCACTGTGTTCCAAAGCATTTTCCCCGAAATAAGCACATACTCAATTTCTGTATATTTTAGTGAGCTGTGCTACACTTATTTTATGGATACATATTCAATAAGAATGTTGTATGATATAACTTATTTCAATGAATTGAGTTTATTCTTATAAAAAATAACTTTTCAACGTTTGTGCTATTGCTGGTAATATCTATAATGGGAATCTGTGTAATGGGTCCATTTTCAAGAAGGAGTTCAAAACTTTTTTGAGAAAATGAAGGCCATAATCAGCTATACCTTAAGGCCTGTTTTTCATGATACGTCATGAAGTTAGTATTTTCTGGGAAAAAAAAATCCGAAGTTCTTCTGACATTATTGTACCAAAGATTTTCTCCCAGAATTTCCAGTTTTATTTGGTCTGTATTTGTTTTTGCACTAGCATCTTACTTTCCATGGTTTCTTGATTTATTTTTTTCTAACTTTCTCCTCTCGCATTGAGTTGCTGTAGCTAAGGAAGAGAAATGAATTATTCAGCTCTTTTTACCTTGAGTGAAAAGGAAATGCAGAAAAAAGATGCAAAAGGCAATTTTGAAATTGACATTTTGGAGACTATTGCTGTCATCCTATGACTGAGAACATGATTAATTTTTGAAGGTCAGAAAACCAATATTTTTTTCCCAGTGGATTTACAGAGGGAACCAACCACCTGGCCTCTAGTTTTATAGATGGCACTCACCAGAAAAATATGCTCTTTTATCTCTCACAGTGTTTCTCCTTTGCTGTGTATTTTCAAAGACTGTATCCCTTGGAAATAACAAATGCAATTACTATAGTACTTAGTTTTTCTCATGTCTCTACTGAAGGGTTACTCTGATTTATGTATTATTCCACGGCACTGTGTAACTTAACAAACATTCAGATGCTGTGAGTCATTTTGCCTAAGGATCCCTGAACACGTTCCAACCTTTCCAAGAGCCTTGCCCCACCCAGTAAGGGAGGATGGGACCTTAAGGATCTGTTTGTGTGCCAAGGAAGATTAAGCAATGTGTGCTGCAGTGCTTCTCAGAGGACAGGCGAGACGTGGGGGGCACCATACTTGCCATCGAAACCAAGTTCAAACCAAACGTAACCATCTTGAGGAGAAAGTGAACAGGTTCCTCGGTCCTGGAGGATGGAAACTGACCTGCCTTTACTTGGTGCAGAGACTATAAAGAGCGGGGTGCACGGTGGAGGGAGCTGCCTCTTTCTGTAAGAGAAGGCTCAGCTTCCTTAGCCAGCTCGATCTTCCCTAGGCATAAGAATTTAAGATCTCGCTATACTAGATCTCATCTCTGGATACTTCTGTACTAGAACTAGGAATGTAGATAAGGGGAAAAGACTCTTCTATGATTTAATTTTTTAAGGATTTATTTGTTTTTCTTATTGGAAAGTCAGGTATCCAGAGAGGAGAGACAGAAAGGAAGATCTTCTCTGTTGTTCACTCCCCAAGTGACTGAAACAGCCAGAGCTGTGCCAATCTGAAGCCAGGAGCCAGGAGCCTTTTCCATGTCTCCCACATGGGGGCAGGGTCCCAAGGCTTTGGGCCATCCTTCACTGCTTTCCCAGGGCACAAGCAGGGAGCTGGGTGGGAAGCTTGGCTACTGGGATTAGAAACAGCGCCCATATGGGATCCCAGCAAGTGCGAGGCTAGGAATCTAACTACTAGGCTGCTGAGCTGGGCCCAGTGTGATTTAATTTAATTAAAAAAATTTAAAATGTAAGTTTTAAAATGACATTTCTGAATATCTGATTTCACCTTGTCTAAAGAACGTATTCTAGCTTTTTGTAGGACTGTTCTGGCCCTTTGGTGTGGACTCCACACGCGGATGGGCCTCTGCTCGTGGGCGTGGACGTGGGGCTCCTCCGCTGATACGGGAGCAGTCCCTTCCCACTCTGCCCCCGGTGAGGGTCTCTACCTCTGACACCAAAGCCACTGCCATGTTCCTGTCTATGTTTATGCCACCCTGAGTTGTTCAAGAAAAAAATACTTTTAATCCCTGACGTCATTGTAGCAGTTGAATGTGTAACTGTGTGTTACATCATTTTTCATGTTTACAGGAAAAAATAACCTAATGATTGAAAATTAATATCTATGCATAGTTGGATTGATTTAATTCTGTTTGGGATTTATGTTAATTTTCCCTATTGTGTATGAATTGAGAGTATTTGTGCATTTTTCTTTTCACAACAGAATGAGGAGCAAAAGAACATCCAAACTAATAAACTGTAGAAATTTGATCTTACAGCTTTGTTTCACATTTACTGTATTATTGAAAAGTTAATTGACATGTTTTTCTGCGCCTTCCCTCGACTCTGTCCCAGGAACTTGCAGAAGACGCCGTGCAATAGATGCCGGCACTTATAGGTTCTGATGAAAGCAACTTGTGTCTAAGGAGCAGCTGGCAGTACTTCTACCCATAGTTCAGCTAACTGATGTTTTTTCATCTCCCTTTTTTCTCTTCTTCCTCTACCTCCTCTTCACTATTATTAGTTAACCAACATATTTTTATTAATGACTAGAAAAACATTTGTCCTCTTAATCAACCGATGGGAAACAAGAGCACACTTCACTGGTTTTTGCCAGAAGTAGCCATAACGTCTTCATTGCTCATCTGGATTGTTATTCCAAGTGATGTATTGGCCCATTCTTGTATCAGTGACGTTTCTTTACATGGTTTAAAAGGAAAGACCATGGATTAGCAAAGACATAGGAATTTGGTCCTGACTGGCGTTAAGTCAATAATTTATATTACATCTTTGGTCTTCTAAATAAAATGATTTATAATAGTCATTTAAGGCTATTAAAAAAGTCTAAGAGAACGAATTGACATTTTTAATGCAATTTTAGTACAGAACATTCTAGAAGGCTAAGAGGGTTGCATGAATTGTACATTTCTGTAGACATGACACTAAGGCTCTAGAAAGCTGAATGCTGAGATTCATTGTTACCACTAGATTGAAAAACAGTATTTCCTTGTAATATGTGCTTCTGTCACACCTGATTCCATCAGTTGAATGTGGACACTTACGTTTAAATATATGGTTGGATAAGTTTCACCAGTAATAAAGACTTTTCATTTTAAGTCAACAAAGTTCTCTGTCTTGTTTCAGGCTTTGTGGATTTGGGCCTCCACGACCAGGTCCACCTTCTGGAATGTGCCTGGCTAGAGATCCTGATGATCGGTCTAGTGTGGCGCTCCATGGAGCACCCAGGGAAGCTTCTGTTCGCTCCCAACTTGCCCCTGGATAGGTGAGTGTCCTGATTATAGCTTGGGAGATTCCAATTTTTCTTGGTCACTGACCTTGTTTTATTCAGAAGTCTCTGAAACTTCAGGAAACAGGCATGCGTGTCTTACAAGTGGCTCAAAGTGGGTGCGAAAGGCCAGTAAGTGCATGGAAAGCTTAGGATAAGGTTCTGCTGTAGTCTTCTCAGAGGAGCCCTAATGGCTCAAACGCACACACACTCGCACACACACACGCTTACCACACCATGCCGTGCCACACAATGAACTGCAATTACTTAGCTCTTCTTCAACTTGGGTCATAATAAAAATGATTAGCTTTGCTTTAATTAAAATCAAATTGTGATCCAGACAATAATATAGAAGTTTTATATATAAAAAAAGATGTAGTTATTTTTATTGCCAAGTCCTATTTACAGAGAGGAGGAGAGACAGTGAGTAAGATCTTGTGTGCAAAGATTCACTCCCCAAGCAGCCGCAGTGGCTGAAGCTGAGCCAATCTGAAGTCAGGAGCTCCGATCCTCTTCCAGGCCTGCCATGCGGATTTGGTGTCCCAAGGCTTTGGGCCGTCCTCGACGGCTATTCAAGGTGAGGAATTTAGCCACTAGGCTACTGTACCAAGCCCAGAAGTTTTATTTTTTATCCATTATTTCCACCAGTAAAATGAACTTGACCAGAATGTTCTGAAAGTCATGGAGTCACTTCAGTTTTTAAACATTGCCTTTTCAAAAGAATTACTCTTGAGCTCCCTTGGGATGTGGATCTTATATTTTTCTGTCTAGGTCTTTGCTTGGAGTAACAGAATTTAAGCATTACATTGTATCAGCTGCCACCCTGTACCAATAACTATACTAAGTATGAGGGGCACATGGTCTTATCTGATCATTCACAGTGCCCTGGGAGATGGAACACTCAAAATTCATTTTTCGCCACCAAGTCTCAGATACAAAAAGCACAGAACCATCTGGGAAGGGCACGAGAATCTAAATCCGGAATCTTTAGGCCTCAACCCTATGGTCTTCTGTCTTCGGAACTTACTTAGTCTCCTGCATTTCTTTCTCTTCAGTAATGCCTCCTTTGGCTTGGTACCACAGCGCTGCTTCCAGATATATCTTGGCTTTTGTCTAGGAAGGAACCATAAACTTACTGTTTCTTGCTATCTCAATTCACACTCCAATGTAACTTGACGTCCTATCATGCATCTCATGAAATTTCTCATTGGAATATCATACTCTCTCCCCATTCCCTGTCCCACTCCCTGGATCGCTACCCCAGCATTCTCTTGAACAGAGTTACAGAAACATTAATCAGGGTTCAAAAGAATTCAGTAAGGTACTGTTTACTGTATTGTCATTTTGTATTAATAGATATTTTAGCTTTAAAGTCAAAAGAATTTCATCAAAGGATTATTTTATTTATCTGAAGGGCAGAGAGAGAAAGAGAGAGAGAAGGAGGAGGAGGAGATAGAAGCAAGAGATATTTCTTCCATCAATTGCTTTATTCCCTTGGGGCCACTAGAGCCATGTCTGGGCCAGGCTGAAGCCAGGAAACGGGTATTCCGTCTGAGCATTGCGCATGGGTGGCAGAAATGCAAGTACTTGGGCCAGCTTCTGCTTTCCCAGGCACATTTGCAGAGAGCAGGACTGGAAAATGAGCATTCAGGACTTGAACCAGAATTCTGATATGGGAATTACAACCAGTGATTTAGCATGCTGTACCACGCCATTGGCTTGTATGCATATTAAAAAAATTTGATACCTACTAATGGGTTACCATATGTCGTTTACATATATTGCATAATAACTGACCAAGGAAAACATATCTATCTCCTCAAAATCTATCATGTCTTTATGGTTAAAACATTGAAAATAATTTCGTCCTAGTTTTCTAAAAGAGAAACATATGGTGTGTAAACATTATGTATTATTACTCTGAAGGTATGATGGCTCAGTAGCTAAATATTCCCCTGGCAAGCACCAGGATCCCATATGGATGCTGGTTTATTTCCAGATGCTCTACTTCCTTTCCAGCTCCCTGCTTGTGGCCTGGGAAAGCAGTAGAGGATGGGTCCAAAGCCTTGGGACCCTGCATTTGCCTGGGAGACCCAGAGGAAGCTCCTGGCTCCTGGCTTCAGATTGGGTTAGCTCCGGTCACTGTGGCCACTTGGGGGAGTAAGCCAGCAAAAGGAACGTCTTTCTGTCTTTCCTTCTCAGTTATAAATCTGCTTTTCAATAAAAGTAAATACATTTTAAAGGAAAACTGCAAAACCAGTATAACGGAACATCAAAACTTTTTACTCACATCTAATTATAATAAAGCTGTTATTTAAAAGCTTCCCACTGTTAATGTACAGCAGTGCTAATGAGTGTACATTTGTACACAGGCTTTGTGTCTTGTTATCCTCCTGAATTGATTCATTAATTCTAAATTTTTCCAGAATCTTCAAGATATTTTTATATAAAACCATGTTGTTTTCAAACATTGACAATGTGACTTTCTCATATCCAACTTGAATGTATCTTATTTCTTTCTCTTGCCTGGTTGTTCTGGCTAGGGCTCGCTGAACTATGGTGACAAGATCAACGTCCTTGTCTTGTTCCACATTGTAAAGAATCAGCCTTCAGACTTCCACACTTTATTGTGAAGTTAGCTGTTGGTTAATATATATAATCCTAAAGATGTGGAGTTATATCTCTTCTATCATTAATCTATTCATTTTTTTTCTTGTGAAGAAATGTTGAATTTTACCAAATATCTTTTCTACTTCTATTGAGAAAATCATATTATCTGTATCTTTTATTTTGCTTTTGTGGTATATCACATTTGTTGATTTGCATATTTTGAACTATCCTTGCATCCTTTGTGTGAATTTCAGTGAACATAATAAATAATTGCTTTAATGTTCTGCCAGATTTGATTTATTGGTATTTTGCTGATTTTCCCGCCATACACTCTCAGCAGCGGTATTGGCGCTATGCGTCTGCCGTGTCCTCCTCTGGTATCAGGATAACGTTGGCCTCAGATGAAACAGGGAGAAATTCATCCTCCTCTACTTCGGGGAATAATACAAGAGGAACTGGTATTAATTCTTCTTCAAATGTTTTGTAGGATTCAGAAATCAACTGATCTGATCTTGAGTTTTTCTTACTGAAAATATGAACATGATATTACTCATTGTTAATATCTTGGGCATTCTATTACAAAATGTGTCGCTTTAACAAGGTCATCATAATTTCTGAAGAAGGTCTGTGTTTCTCTTGTGTCAATTGTAATGCCTTTTTGTCTTAAATTTCATGTTTAAACCTTCTCTCCCTTTTGTTAACCTATGTAAGTGTTTGTCTTGTTTTGTTTATCATTTCAAAGAGCCAGCTCTTTTTTTTCATAGATTTTTGGATAAATTTTTAAAGAATTCTATTTCATTTACTTCTTCCTGGAGTTTTATTATTTCCTTCCTACTATTAATTTTGAGTTAGATTTGTTCTTGTTTGTCTAGTTCTTTACTCAAGGTCTTCTTGCTCCTTTGATATAAATATTAACAGTGGCTGTTAAGTTCTCTGCTGTGCTTCTCTTGCTATATCTCAAGTTTTGGTGTGTTTTGTTTGTGTTTCATTGGCTTCAAGAAATTTAAATCTTCCTTATTAATTTTCTCTTTCTTTCCTCACTGATTGTTCAGGAGCAGGTTGTTTAATTTCCAGCTTCTTTGTACTTTTGAAAGTTTTTCTTGTTACTTATTTCTAATCAGAAATGCGATACAATACAGAAACATAATACAATAGAATACAATTTATCTTTTTTTGTTTGTTGAGAATGGTTTTGTGATGTGTCATACAATATATCCTTGGAAACAACCTATGTGCTATTGAGAAGAATATGTAATGTACAGCTGTTAGATGGAATGCTCTTTATCTATTTTCTAGGCAGTTTGATCTAGAGTATGATTTAACTGTGCAGAATCTTTGGTGAATTTCTTTCTGAATTATTTTTGATATTTTTGGTAAAATACAGTGTTAAAATTCCATGATATTCTTATCCTGAAGTCCATCTCTCTTTAGTTCTGTTAATTTTTGCTCCAAGATTACAAACACGTATGTTACAACTGGTATGTCATCGTGCTGGAGTGAATCTTTCATCATTATAAGATGTCATTCTTTTTTAACTTTAAAATCTATTTTATCTGTTTTAAAAAGTATGGGTGTTTCTGCTTTCTTTTGAATTTTTATGCCTGTAATGTCTTAACTATCCTGATATTTTCATTATATTATGTCTTTAGAGAAACAAAGTTTATTGATTTGAAAATTAGAATTACAGATAAGGAGTAGGAGAGAGGGAAGGAGGCAGAGTGGGAGGGTGGTAGAGAGAGAAAGGAGAGAGAGAAAGAGAGAGAGAGGGACAAGAGGGAGGAGCAGGGAGGAAGGAAGGAGTTAATGATAGAGAATGAATCTTCTGTTTGCTGTCTTACTCCCTAAGTGGCCGTAATAGCCAGGATGGGACCAAACTGGGGCCCCTTTTTGGGTCTCCCACATGCATGACAGGCACCCAGGCAACTTGGACCATCCTCCACTGCTCTCTGAGACATATTACCAGAGAGCTGGATTGAGCAGCCCGGATTCAAATGGGTGCCCTAAGGGATGCCAGTGATGTAAGCAGCAGCTTTACCTGCTCCAGCACAATGCCAGTTGCTAAAGCAAGTTTTCTTCAAGTAGTACATTGCTATGTCTGTTTTTTTTCAATCTATTTTGTCAGTCCGAGTATAATAATTAGTAATTTTAATCTATTTGCATGTGTGGTAATTATTATAGGTAGGATACTTTTCTAGTTTTATTACATTTCCTTCCCTCCTTCCCTACAATATTATTTCTGGTTAAGTGATTTTATATAGCAGTAAATGTTGATTCAATTCTGATTTTTTTTTTGCTAACTCTATAATACTTTTGCTTTGTGTAAATGTAGTTAGACATTAGTATAATTAGACAATTATGATTTTATATATTTGAAATAATGACTTGAA